GCTGCTGTTGCAATTGCGAGTGTTGCTGTTGCTGTTGGGTTTGAATTATAGCGCCCACATTGACATGCGTCGAGCCTGGTGACGGATTCACTTGTAAGGAATGCGAAAATAATTCCGTAGACACTATAGGCACTGGCACGGTGATTGGTATAGGAAGCACATTCACGTCTTGTACGCTGTTGGATGTGGGCAACTGCACGTTAGTATTATTGGCATTACACCGATTTGCTTGTTGACACGAATTTGATGGATTATATGGTATACCAGCCTGAAATATATAAATCACAAAGGGCTTTTTAAGCAGATAGTAGTTAAGTGAATAACTCTAATTTTAATGTTCAACAAATAAAAAGTTTAGAAAATAAAATATGTAAAAACCATACAAATAAATAGATAGAAACATGTCTTAAATAAAAATAGTCAGTTATTCAAAAATTAAAAAGAAAGAGAGAGAGAGAGAGAGAGAGAGAGAGAGAGAGAAAGTTAGACATAATTTCTTATTTAATATATAAATATATTTAAAAGATGTACGAACATTCAATAATGGCGTGAGAATCCCATATCGAGCGATAAACAATTGTTCTGAAACCCTTCTTAATTCTTCCTGCTGATGAACAATTAATTGCTGTAGCTCTTCATGCTTCCGTTGCAATTCATCCTGTATTTGATTTTGCGCAGGAGTCATTACTATACCTTGCTGATGCAACATCTGAAAATATCGAGAATACAGTAAAATAAAAATTTTCATAAATATAATTAAACTGTTTATGAGTATAATATAAAAGTTTGTAAATATTATAGATCGAATTTTATATAATTAAATTTATATGATTTATAAAATTTATTACGTTTTAAAACAAATTTTAAAAGAATGCATGTATACGCAAGATTAAGAAAGTCCCAATTTATTCCCAATTTATTCCCAATTTATTGAAAATTAATCAAAATACGATTGTGTAATAAAATTTGTATTGTGTGTTAAAAATTGTATGCGATTGGAACAGAAAATTGTTCATACATTTTATATAATTGTGCAATAAAATAAATGCAAACATGCAATTAATATTACAATAATAGAAATTATTTATTTCTTTACCTCATGAGTAGGTACAGTTGACAGAATTGGAGCAGCAGGCGTTGCAAACTCGGTTGTAACTACCGATTGCAAATTAACCGTTGCGTATTGCGTAGGATCCATAAAATTAATACATGACTGATTAACATCAAGTTGATGTTGTGGCTGTTGCTGTAGCTGCTGCTGTTGTTGTGCTTGTTGCTGTTGCCTACTGTCAACCGAAGCTATTTGTTTTGACACAACAGAACTGCTTGCAGAAGCTGCGTTCGATCTCGATCCATGCGTTATTTGCGAGTGTGGTGAACTTCGTAATGAGACAGATATTGAGGACGTATTGGAACCATCACCGCGATGTCGGAGATTAGAAGCGACTGTGATTGACTTCGATGTTCTCGATGATTTGGTTGACCATTGCGTTAACGGTGATTGACAAGATGCCACCTGTGTATGCGTAAAAATATAAACCAAAGATAAATACCTATAACATATACACGCAAATACAATAAAGTTTAAATGAGAAAAATTTCTAGTTGAAAATGAAAAAGTCAAAGATATCTGACTATATTATTTAAAATTCTAATTAAGATAATAAGATCTAATTATGATAAATATAATTTTTTATATGATCAGAATCTACTGGTTCGTTTATTTTTAACTGGAACTTTTTTTCAGTATAATAAAATACGTTCTGAAGCTTTTATTCCTTGCATTTATACACACGTATTTATTTTGTCTTGTATGATTAATATTACAATAATTATGAAATTCTATAATCGCGTGTCATCTGTCGTCTTACTTGTTTTGCAGGCAGTAAAATATCTTGATTTTGTGTTTTGTTATAATTCCCCAATTCTGCACGCAATTTTTTTATTACATCGACATAACTGATCACGTAATGCGTGCACACGATGAATTCAGGTTTTGAATTCCACTGATTGTAGGTAATGTAGAATCTAGTCTGCAACCAAATCCATTGCTGACCTTTCGTGAGGAATCTATAGTAACAAGACGTTCCTTCGCCTTTCTGCATTACTAAAAGATAACACGATTAATAATCAACTGCACGATCGATTGTATTTTTTTAATACTTACGTGATTCATGGCACGTAACTACATTGTCTAAATCATCTACATGATAATAATCGTAACCAGAAGTGCCTAAAACTTCAAAAGGCAGATATCCGATAATGGGCGGAGCTCTGTGATCCAAAAATAGAAATTTCCATTCGAGACTATGACGAGATGTGAATTCTGACTTCGTACTATCTGTCACGGATAATTCTCGGATAAGCTGAGGAGTTTGCAAACGTCCCGTACCCACGAAAACCAATCTGCAAAATTAAACGTGAATATATTGCTATGTGATTTTGTTTTTATACTCATGTACACGATTAGCGATAATACTTGTTATCTGATCCGCTAGTATTACTAAGTTTCTGACTTGGCAATAGATTGTCAACATCGCTATCCATAGCAGAACCTGTAACAACACAATACTCTTTGATAAAACTCAATTTTAATTTTCCGTAACTAACGGTGTGTGTCTATTGGATCCTCTCAATTATATCTTTTACGTTACATTTGCAAATTTGAAATGTTATTATTAAAGTAAACTTAGTATTCATTCTTTTTTATACGTATAATAATTAAAAATTTTATCATTTTGAGATTAATTAATGTCTTTTAGTCAACATAAATTAAATGGATCAAACTCAGCATCAGTAACTGTGTTACGAATTTTGACATTAGCTCCGAAGTATTAAATATAAGGTAATTTGATAAAGCCAGATTTTATCACATAAAATTACTTAATAAATTTAAAAGTTTTGAGATATTTTACTCACGAAAGTATCCGATAAACTGTACAAGTTCATAGATAGATTCTTCCCGAAAATCGAGTCCGCCCCTTTTGATATGACACGTAAAAGAAATTTGATCCTCTGTCAATACAGAAAATTTGTATTTAATAAAAGTCACATATAAATTTCCTAATTTCTAATAACTATAAAAAATACCTTTTTTTATACTATGTCTGTCTCGTGTGCTTCCGGGATTCAATAAAACATTATATAAATGCGGTTGATCTTCTTGATATGTTATATCGTAAATGGACGTGTTTTCTAATTCATTTGGAAGATACCCAAGCAAAGACGTAACACTTTCAGAGACGTAATAAATATGTCCATTCGAAGAAAAAACCATTATAAATCCATCCAACGCCTACATTTATATAAACGTATATTAGTAAACATTCCTAAGTGTAGTAAATATTCTAATAAATATTATAATATTGTAGAATTCATCTTAGTCTAGTTTTATGATTTTGTACGTAATTTTACCTCTAATATAAGATGAGTAAATTCTTCATTAGAGAGAAAAGACGGTTTCCAGTCTTCTTGAATCTCATGGACTCTCGATCTAACTGCTATCTCTGAAAATAAGCAACTGTATATTGTAATTCTAAAAAATGGTATTTAAAAGTTTATCAAATAATTTAAAAACAAAAAGTAACTCATTTACTAGAGTTTACTAACTCTCAACAATTTTAATTAAAAATATTTGAAAAGATATTTTGGTTTCAAATAGAGTATTGTAAAAAATATTGCGCATACCATTATGGTTCTTTAAAAATAGAATTGTCGACTTCAACACCGTAGATTTATCCATTTTTCGCGCATTTGCACTAACCATACTACCGAGCTCATTTACAAGCATGTTAAATTGATCCCTGCGTTTCTTTTCGCTGAGATTACGCGATTTTCTGAAAATATTTATACGTTTAATATTTATTACAACAAACATATAATAAATTGCGTAAGAATTTTTAATGTGTGTTACCGTTTTGTATCATCTTTATCATCAATATCATCGTCCATGATGTCACTGAAGGCAAACCGTGTTCTTTAATTTAATATAGCAAAATTTTTTAAAGAAATAAAATTATGTAATATTTTACTTCTTATACTGGTAGTACCACTGCTTCTATAAAGAGAGAAGAGTGATAACGAAATGTATTATTTTTATATATAATATAAAAATAATACATTTCGATATCACTCTTTTTGTTTGTTAGTTACTGTTACTTGAATTTTTACTTGAGTTTCGCTAATTGATTTTAAATAGCACAATACATTTCGTATAAAAATATACACTTATACAATTTAAGAACAAACAAGAAACAATATTTATTACTCTTAATTTATAAATAATATATCATATTTTGCTCTAACAAACTATTTTAGCTTACATAACAATATAATAAAAAAATAAAAATATGTATATATATTGTGCTCTAAAAAAATTATTAAATCTTAGTACATATTTCTTTGAATAGTATTAAATAAACATTTACTTATAATAAATAAATATTCAATTAATAAAAAAATGATAATTAAATCAAATTAATGGTTTTCGTATCAAATAAATATATGTTTATATTTAGTAAATATTTACTTAAAACTATTTGAACAAATATTTATTGAAATTTAGTATTTTTTCAGTGTACATAAAAAATTCATCTAAAATGAGTAGACATGCGCATTTAAAAAAATACACATTTATATAAACATTTGTTAAATATTTACTATGTTAATTGATGCAGTATATGTTGTACAAATATTCTCAGATTAATGGCGCTTACATCCTTTTGCACATTTAGATAAATATTTTTCCATGGAACAGTTTTTCCGAGTACTGGTTTACTATGCGATAATTGTAACAGTCATCATATAGTGTGATTACAGTCCACAATAAAGGAATAGTAAAACTCGTTGACAAATATTTAAAAAATATTTCGGTCAGTAGATTGGCATCGAGATGAGTTCGAGATCACTCTATAATAATGATACATTCACTAAAAAGTGTCATTACATTTTACAATCTTACACCATAAAGAAAATCATAACGTAACATTAAATATTACGTTACGATTGTCTTTATGCGTAAGTCGATATTTTTACTGTCACGTACAGGCTTCAGTTAACGATTCAGTATTTAACGTAACGTAACGTGTTACGGATCATGTTTTTGTGCGGAGAGCCTAAAACATCTATCCATCAGCGAGGATCGAGGTGTCTCACCCACTTCAATTGAGAGAAGGGATGTCCGCGTGGAACAGCCCGCCGTGCACCAATTATACGTGCACTATTGCGCACGTATGCGCACGAGACCGCACGCAAATTTTCGCGAGACCTCAAGTCAAAGAAGTGCGTTGGATCTTTCGAGTCTTCCGCCAATCGTTCCTCAATGTCGTATTCGGCCGCACGAAGTGACGTTTTTCGTTGAAAGCACCGCCACATTTTTCAGGAAAAGCACTCCGCGGCGACCATCCGCTTTAACGACGGTCGCTCCGATTTTCACAATGCCTCGGAGTCAATTACGCGATCACGCAGGACGCTGCAACCTGCAACGGATTGCCGACTGTAGCGCCTTGCATCGTCACACTCAGATTCATTAGCCGCGCTGCTGAGCCTAATCGATCGTGAATGTAATCGCGAGATTTTACCGCGATTCTGCACGGCGATTGCGAAAACCCATGCGGAACACACGAAGAGTAGGCCAAGTAGAAACAGACAAGCCAGACCTGCCAACCGCCTCCGCAAAAGTCCCCTTCGCTCTGTGAAAATGCGCGCTGATGATGCTCTATTTGATAAGAGTTTATTGTTTCTTAATTAAATCTGTATTAATTACAGCTTCCTGACATCTCAATTTGTCGCACCCGGTGACTTTAAAAATAGTATATTAATATTTTTATTTCGATAACTGAACTACGTTTTTGAAAATTGATGGAAGGTACAAATCCATCAATTTCTGCTACAGATCTACTTTTTTTAAAGAATTAAATAAAATTTGTCTCTTTTAGTAGAGAAATAATTGCGGCTCCAGAAAAGCTTGAACTTTGAATCTTGCATTGAGAGTTGCAGTGATAAATGTATCAGATAAGTGTGTAGGCAACGTCGTACATCAAATACTTTTACTAACCCCCAGCAATAAAATTTAAATAAACGTTGTAGTTTCTTTTTTCAAAATCTTTAAAATTTAATGGACTCACGCAAAATATTCAAGCTCACATACATTCAATAAAATTATGTATAGCATCCATTTTTTATCATATTTCAAAAGAGAATCTTTCAGCGCACCTACAATTTTTTGTATTTTCGCTTCCCGGCATTTCACTGAAAAACAAACAATCCTGCACAATTTTCATTTTTTTATACATATATTTTTTTCTTTTAACGAAAAAAAAATTTTTCGACGAAAAGAAAATCGTGTCTGTATTGTCCACGTCGGATCGCGTCACTATCGGTCTCAGGATGGATTTCCACGTAGCGAAAATGGCAGTCGAGTTGTTTTCCCGACACTGCGCAATCGCAGCTTTATCGCTTATTGCAATCGTGCATTTGCGGTGAATGCGCGTGGTATATTACCTCGCGGCGGACATTCGACCGGCCGCGATTGGCTACGACCTACGTACATGTGTTTATTTCAAACAACGGCTTGCATGTCTGCACATGCATCCCGTTGCAGCAACATCACTACTGAACGTCCGTAATGCAATTCGCAACGGACGTGACATCTGATACCTCGTGAAATACCGTCCGCCAGTATAAATTCCACGACGTTTGCGCCAAACTGGTGGCATTGTTTCGCAAAGAAATACTCTAATTGTAAGAGAGAGATTGGCCGTCACAATTTGTCTCTGCCACAGGACAATACGACTTTTTTTTATTAAGATAAACGGAAGAGGAGGGAAGAGAGATGTATAAAATCCCTAAAAATTATATTTTTCATATATAGATTTAGCGACTGATTCAAAACCTTAATTTTTTATCTTGATATAATTTAAACTTTGAACTTCATCCATTTTTGAGCGTTTCTCGCTTACACTTGTCAATTATATTCCATTTTATAGATAATAACAGAAATATTGAAAATTAAATAGTTTTAGATCCTCAAATCCTTGCAGAAAATAGTTTTGGTACTTTAAACGTGTCATTTTACTTGTCCGATTGCTCATCATTAGAATTATCAGAGCTGAGAAATGTCATTAACACGGTATTCGTATGTATAGTATATTAAAAAATCTTTGGCATATTCTAGATTATCAAATGTGCGTCATGATATGAGCGCAGCAACCTACTACAAGGCATTATTTTTACATGTGCCGTCATTGCACAGTAACGGCATAACAAGAAAGGCCCTGGATGCGGAAATAAATCTTGTGAAGAAGAGAGAGGTGGATAAAAAAAAAAGAAATATTTCTTATCTAGAAATATTTTTAAATATATAATAAAGGACCATCAATTCAAACAGCTACAAGCATAAGTAGCAAAATATGTCTCATATGCCATATTGATAAAGTCGTAACACTGATCTGCAGCTATTGTAGCAGTTGGCACTTACGCAGTTTAATCTACTCTTTATGCTATATAATTTTACTCATTTCAGTACGCGAGAGACCCAAATTTATATACAAAATGGGCGAAGTTCTTTATTTGTTCGACTTACGTTAACATATCGCTTTTTTATTTTTAAAGTGACACTTTTAAAAAAATTAAACTTTTTAAAAAAAGGTAAAACCTATTTTTGACAGAAAATTATTGACTAATCAAATAATATCAGCAAAACCGAATATATTCTTAACATGATTAGATTGTTATTTTTGTTTCACCCCTTTAAAAAAATCACTTTTTTGAGTTACGATAAATTTTTTTAAACCACCATTTTTTAGTCGTAATAATTTTAGCGATTTTTTAAAGAAATTCAATTAATTTACTTTTAATGATAATAGCGTATATTTACTTAACTCATTCATGGTAAAATCACGTTTTTCCAGTTATGTCATTTTTTTAAAAGAAAGGTAGCGATATAACTGTAAAATCAATGATCAGTATCTGGTACGCAATTGCACGTAATAAAAAAAATTTTTAAGTACAAATAATTATATTTATAATTAATTGTGAATTTCAATATTCGTTCCGATCTTTATTAATGTGAGATCCTCTTCAGTTGATTGGATTCTCTTCAGCAAAATAAACACGCCGTTGAATTTGTTTATTCAGTAATCATTGTTGTAAATCTTTACTATTAATAATTTTTCTGTTTTTATTATAACAGTTGTAAAAGCAGTTGTAATTGCTATTTTAATCAATATTTATTTTTTCATATTTCTCGGTTTTTTCTGTTCTGAATTTAAATGCAATCTTGTTTCTAATCTTTATTTTTTTACTTTTATTTTTTCTTAAAGTTTAGTCATTTCTTAAATTTTGAAAAGCTTTCGAGAAAGCTTTCTAAAATTATATTATGCCTTAATTAAATAAACCATTTAAATTGCAGAAATTTAAAATAACCTTAATTTGCTTAATTTGTTCTTCATTATCAAAGACATTTAGTACATAATGGATATAAGGTATGCAATAAGTGTGTGCACAGTATTCAATAAATTTTACATAATATTTATTATTTATAGTGTACTCAGAAATGTCGGGCCTCAACCAGTGGGCCTTCTTCTTTTGACATATTTGATCAATGAACATCACAATGTTAATTTTCCTCTAGTCCGTATAGTTACTTCTCTTCTCTATTAAAAACGACGCGCAATCTGCTCGTACCGTTGCGACAAGTTTTACGACAGTCTATTTGCATTGTACGAAATATTGCTGCGTGTTTGCTGAGCTAAATAAAACCGTGAATCGAATTCGCTCAAGAAAACGATGGACAAAACAGGTTGTCACGAGCGGTCTTAATACAATAGTTGGACATGCGAAACTTAAACGCCGCAACGAGCGAATTGCGCCTCGCAAAAAATAGATATGTCCAGCTTCGCGACTCTTGGTTCTCATCCACGATTCAACATGCCAGCATATTCGTACAACAAAATATCGAATAACAACTGCATATAAAAACAAAACGAAAGGAAGAGGTCTATCTTAGCCGCAACTCGTCGTAAGT